AAGTTCTAGGGATCTGTGCACATAAATTACATTGAAAAATGGTTAGGATGGGAAATTTTATGTTTTGTGTTTTTTGCCACAATTAAAAAGAAAACGTGGGAAGGCACTGAGGCAAATAGTATTACTGTGTAAATATTCACAGCACCGTCTCACACGGGTCCGGATGAGCTCAGCCTGACCACATGCCTTGCTCTGACCAATCAAAGGTGAGTGGCAATTATATGTGTAACTTCTAAGCAAACGCTGCAAAAGCTATCACATGGTTCTTCATCTCTCTTCTCTCTGCCTTGAGACCCACACATCCCAGAAAGGTGGTAATGTTCCTTCTGAGTCCTAGCAGCCTAGAATGAACAGGAGGAGGAACCAACCTGCAGTCAACCCTCCCAGGACATATGACATGAGCCATGTTTAGGTGAAGATTTGAGATTTCTGAGGTTGCATTCTGAAGCACGCTTTTGCCTAATTAACTGACTCACGCATATAGTTAATAAGCATTTGTAGATGGGATAAAGATCTCATCGATTCTTCATTGATCCCCAGACTGCCAAAGAGATTAAGAAGCTTACATTTATAATGAAGCTAGGAATTGGCAGGATTCTAATTTGGACCTTGACTTACTTATGCTTAAGTAGTAAGCATTTATTGGTATGTAAAATTATTGCTACAATTATTTCCAATTATTGGAAAGTATTATCAAATACTTTCATCTTCACCTTCTTTCCTCCTTTGCTATGATCCTCACCTGCTACATTTAGCTCTACTTTTGTTTATTAAAATTGTTAACCCAGAGTCAGCAAAGAAGGTTCTAACCAGAGGTAAATTACAAAATCTACTGTCATCATTTATGGAGTCACAATAATTGTATGGATTGTCGCTAGTTATGGTCATATCATGAATAACTGTTTTAAATCTTGTTTTAAGATGCAAAAATAAATAGTACAGCACCTATAATCCATACAAATAGGTGATTTTGTTAAGAAATGGAACATGAAATCAGCTTCATCAAAAACCTTAGTAGTACAACTCCTCTGCCACGAAAGGATCCTTTTCCTAATGTTAAAATACCTAAAACATATTGTTGACTCTATTACAGTTTGCAATAACTGGTTACTTAATATCACAATTTTAAGACTATCCGTTGCCATTTTCTCTGCTACCGAAAAAAAAAAATTAACAAGCATGTTTAATTTGTGGGGGAGATGTAAAAAAAAGTTAACCATTTGGCTGCTTCCCGGCTTAAACCACACATTTACATTTTCAAAATGAGAAATGGACAGATGAAAAAATACAACATCCTAGCCATATCAGGTAAGGCTTCACTAAGTGTAATACTTCAACTGAGAAAATTAAACAAGGCAAGTAATCATCCAATACCCTAAATAAGTGGATAAAGAGCATCTTTTAACTATACATATAAAAATAAGCAGTGCTATTTAAGAGGGCCCTTTTCATTTTGGCCTTAGCAATAAACCTTGTTTCTACATGCATTTTGACAGTAAGAATGTTGCTGCATCAGCAATTAAGTACACCTATAGCATAAGAGACCGATCTTGTCAAGACTGCTAGATGACTCACAGGAAAAGTAGAGCTGACAAGAAATTCTAAGACATATTGTTACTGTGTGGCAAGTTCTGCAAAATAAGCTACTAGAAAGAAGCAAAATGATTAAATTGACAAAAATATTTGCATACTTTAACAATCGCATTACTTCCAGAAGGTATGTTAGTGAATTTCAAAGTGTTTTCTAAACTATTTCATGATGTTTTGAGTTTTCAATGTCAATAGCTAATCTTAAGAAGTTATTTAATAAAACTTGAGTTATTTCTCAAGCTACTTAGAATAATGTATATATACTTTTACCTACGCTTTAGAAGAAGTTATATTCAAACTTGACATTCATCTGATGAATTCAAACTTGATATTCATCTGATGACTAAAAAAAACCTAAAAGTCCTTGATACATTTTTATACAAAGTAAAATTTAAATAACGTGCACAAATACAACCTAGAAGAAGAAAAATAGGTCTCCTGGGCATGTGTACTTGACAAGAAAATGACAAAATGTAATTGATCATATTTCCCTTTTTGAAATCAGATTTAGATCCAAATTTCCTATGACTTACCTCTGCTTCCTGATTCCATCCCCCACTTTGACCTATTGGCACAACTTTCTAAGACTTAATTTGCACTTACCTATTGCATTGTGTGCCCTCATGACACATCTCAATTTAGATATAGATAAATAGTGTGTATTTCATAGATCAGCTTGCATTAGTTTAATTTTAAAGATAAACCCCTAAAGTTAATCCATATATGATATATAATGGAGCAATATTATGTAGGGATTAGAAGCAAAGGCTCTGGAAGGTTCCAATCAATTCTGACACTTACCATGTGATGTAACTAAACTGAATCTTTGGAATTTTCTCTAATTCCTTCTTCATTATCAAGAAGGTAAATTAAAGAGCTCAGAACACTCTATAGATCAAGAATCACTCTATGCTCATCAGCTATTTATAAGTTTGTATGCAGTCCAGGTATTTGAGTTGCTCAGGTGATAGAAAGGAAAAGCAGATGGACAGTTGACAGGTCCCAAAGGGTGAACAGCATCTGAAGCTATGCACAGAGAAGCCAAACCACACAGGCCCCAAAGTGGAGAAGTAATCTCATGAATTAAGTCTAAGTGGAAAGCATGAGGCAGGGAGGCTTGGAACAGCCTGTGGCAGAGGGAAATTTGACCTACCCTCTTCCCTCCCCTCCCAGAATTCTACAAGCTAGGGGAAGATAGTGCTGATAGAAAATTACATCCCAGCAGTGCTAAGCAGTCTTATGATGAGGGGGCCAAAGTAAGTTGGTAGACGATTGGATAGATATTCTCCTGTCCAGGCAAAGGAGGTAATGTTAGGCAGGAACAAAGGAGAGCAAGGAAGGCTGACACCAGGGGTATAGGACTCAGAGGTGAGTTAGCACCTCACTTGGGAGCAGCAAAAACTAGACAATAAATGCACACAAACGTTGTTCTCAAAACCGCAGCTGTTATTGCTTCTAACCTGCGTACTGAGGAAAGGGGGCATGGGGAGCACTATACAGGCACCAGCTATAGTCTACTACCACCTTCCCACAAAGCAAGCAGATTCGGTGAGCACTGATACACCCATGACCCATGAGGAGAAAAGAATTTCAAGTACTTTAGAGAAGCAAAACATAGAGGGCTGAGACTCCAGATCTTTAGAGCGCTGATCACAAATCAAGCTCATTCATTTCCTTAAATAAAAGGATATCCCAGACCTTTCTTCCTCAAGATGAGGAAGCTAAAAGAATGAATATTTGTAGCTGTATTTGGATTGCTTCACTGATAAAAGGACAAGTTGAAATCAATTCATCTAATAATTTTTCTCACAATATGTGTGAGAAAAAAATGAATGCAAAACTGCCTTTTTTACACGTTCTTCATAACTTCTGGTATATTTTACCTCTGAAAAGACATTAACAAGGTGGAAATAAAATTCAAACCCATGCACTGTATGAGCAACTTTTTTTTTTTGAGAGGGCATCTCTCATATTTATTGATCAAATGGTTGTTAACAATAAAATTCTGTATAGGGGACTCAATGCACAATCATTAATCAATCCCAAGCCTAATTCTCAACAGTCTCCAATCTTCTGAAGCATAACGAACAAGTTCTTACATGATGAACAAGTTCTTACATAGTGAATAAGTTCTTACATGGTGAACAATGCAAGGGCAGTCATATCACAGAAACTTTTTTCAGTTTTGATCACGCATCATGAACTATAAACAATCAAGTCAGATATGATTATTCATTTGATTTTTATACTTAATTTATATGTGAATCCCACATTTCTTCCTTATTATTATTATTAATAAAATTTTTAATAAAATGCTGTAGGTAGATGCAAGATAAAGGTAGAAAACATAATTTAGTGCTGTAAGAGGGCAAATGTAGATGATCAGGTGTGTGCCTATAGACTAAGGGCAACAAACAAGGGCAACAAGCTAAACAAGGGCAACAAAACATCCACGGATGCAGAAGATTTCTCTCAAAACGGGGGGTGAGGTTCTAAGCCTCACCTCTGTGGATCCCCAATTTCTCACCTGATGACACCCCTGAGACTGTGCCTGTCTTAGGTTGTTCCTCCCTTGAGGAATCTTACCCGTCTCTGGCTAACTAGTCATCTTCCAAGGCCTGTATGAGCAACTTTTATAAACAGTATATGTGAAGCTAAATATGTTTTAGGCTGAAAAAAACACACCCAGAGATTTGATTTATCATAACATTCATCTTCTTCGAAATCCAAAATTTGATTGCTACAATTAAGACTAAATGCAAAATCTGCACAAGTAGCTGTGTGACCCATAAGGTGTAGGTTTCAACCAGGTTGTCACATCCTTCCAACACTCTTGACTAGGAGCGATTCAAGGTTAGCGACAACCGCGTCCGGTTCCACCCGGTGCTCTCAGCACCTAGGAAAGTAGGTGGCTGAATGAAGGGCAGCGAGCGCTCCTCTCCCGCTGCGGAAGACGCCCCTCAGTCCGCTCTTACTCCTCCGCCATTCCCGCGGGGCAGCCTTAGCAACGTCAGGTACCCGCAGTGGTACAGGACCAACCGCGCAGCCTCCTCCCTTCCCGCACCCAGAGGAACAGCACGAGCCCCGCACCCCTTCCACCGGCTCTCGAGCACAGGCCTCTGCGGTCCGCCCCGCCCACTACACCTGCCGGCGCACCGCCCCGAGCCCGCCCAGCCGCCTTCTGTCCGTGTCACGTGGCAGTCAGCTCCGCCCCCTCCCCGGGGGCTCGCTTTTTGGCGCGCGGCAGTGACGTCAGCGCCCTGTCACCTGCCCCCGCCCCCGCCGCGGCCAAAGCAACTTCGCGTTTTAAACTCGGCTCCGCCCGCCGCGTCCGCTGACGCTGTCTGCTCCTGGGCCGCGCCGTTAACGGGCCCGGGCAGCCCCGCGCCCCGCCCGCCTGCGCCACTCACCTTAAGGTGGCCGCTGTCCGGGCTGCTGGCTTCCTCCTCGTCCTCACCTGCCGAGGCGGCGGGCGGGGGCGCGCTCCGACCCCGAATCCCCGGGTGCTCGGCGGCGGCGGCGGGCAGGACGGCCGAGGGGGCGCCCCCCGCGGCCCCGGGGCTGAGCGTCACGTTGTGCGCGTTCTCGCCCCAGCGCCACGGGTACACCATGAAGTCGCTGAAGCCGGGACTGGTGGGGATGAGCGGCGGCGGCGGCTCCGGCTCCCCGCCGCCGCCGCACGAAGGCTTGATCGGGGTGGTCCTGATGACCGACACCAGCACCCGCTTCGGGGAGTCATGGCAGAAGATGACGGGCGGTGGCTGCGGCGGGGGGTCCGCCATCGGCGCTTCCACGCCTCGGATCATCCCCCGGCCCCGATCCACAGCTCCGGCGGCCGTGAGCCGCGCCCCTTGTGCCCGGGTCTGACCTTTCGCTCCGCTCGCCCGCGCTGCTCAGAGCCGATGCTCAGTCCCGCCGGCTCATTGACAGGCGGACGTTTCCCGGAATTCTCCTGCGCGGCGGCCAGCGAAGGAGCGGGGCGGAGCGGCTTGGACGGCACTGGGCGGCCACAGCCGGACCCCACACTCGGGCCAGGCGGCCCTCCGCTCTTTGTACGCCCCGGCGCAGGCTGCGGCGGTGGGAAGCGGGGAGCGGCTGGCCTTGCGGTGGCAGGAAAGCAGGATGCGCGGCGCCGAGCCCCCGAAAATACCAACCTGCAGCCTGGGTCCCTGCTCCGGCTTTTCCCGCGTTACATTTCGCGCCTGGGCGGAACCAGTCACCGCGAGGTCCCTGCCAGGTGGCCGCAGCAGCGAGTGACAGGCCGCGCGGGCCAATGGCCGCGCCTGGACTTCTTTCCAGCCGAGCGGGGCGGAGCCCGGCCTGCGCGCGGGTCCCCTCTGCCACGCCATTGGCCGCCGCTCTCGTATTTTTTTCTGCCTCGACGGCCAACTGCGTTCGAAACTCCGGGGAGGCGCGCGGCGTCGGCCCCGGTCCAGACACACCCGCCCGGAACCCGGCCGGCAGTCTGCGCGGGGCGGCTGGGCCGAGGCGCGCGGGGGGCTGGCGGCAGGGCCGGCCGGCCGGGGTGGGGCCGGGCGGTCGTTGGTTGCTGGGCCGCGGTTCCCGCGCGCCGGCAATTTAAAGGGCTAGGGCTCGGGCCGCCCGTTGCCTAAGCAGGTTTCTAGTAGACGCCCCCTGGACTGTGGTGGGCGTGGGTCGCGGACTTCGCCTAGCCGGGCCTGTTTTCCCCGTGTAACGTAAGGTGGTTAAGTAAGTGGTCTCCGAGGTCCCCGTGTGCTGCTCGCTGCAGGAATGGCACAGGGGTACAGTTGGCGTGTGCCCCTCTCACACCCGTGACCCATGTCCCGAGGGCCCCGCGCAGCCTACCCCTCGGCAGCAACGCAGCGCCTGGACGGGTGTGGAGCTCCGGCCGCAAGACCCTTTCCGTCAGGGCTGACTCCTGCGCGTCCTGCCTCAGGGACCACCCCCCTCCGCCCCAGGGCCTGACAGCGCCCAGAGAGCGCTTGCGGAGCCTCGGGGGCGCAACGCGGTGTCAGGCAAAATGGGGTGGCCAGCTCGCTGTAGTAGAAGATGAGAGAAGTGACTGTGTCTGTTCCGTCCTGTTTGCAAGAGCCTAGCCTGATGAAAGAATGAATAATGAATACCCAAGTCAACGGCTAGAATTGGTCATTAAATTGGAATACGCCTTTATAATAGCTGAGTAGTGTCTCACACTCACAAATAGTTATGCCTAAATTAATTTAGCCACAATTCTTGAAAAAAATCAACAGGAACAACTGCTTAGATACATTTTTTTAAGTGATAAAAAGTAACATAAAATTGTATGTTTTAATTCATGTTTTTAAAATGGTGGGAAAATTGCTTGTCGATACACAATGTCTGTAACAAGATACACTAGAAATTAATACATTAGTTGACTCCAAGGAGGGGCATTATGTGGCTGAGAAACAGAAAGATTTAAAAAGACACAACATATAACTGTATCTTTTGATCTTTGAACCAAGTGAAAGTACCTTTTCAAAAAATAAAATAGTATATAGCTACCATTTCCTGAAGGCTCACTATAATCACAGCATGTGTCCACTGATACACAATAATATAGATGGATGTCTCACATTCTACTACTATCAACAATTCCATGAGGTGGAATTTCCCATCTACAATTTCAGGCTGATCCAAAGCCACATAACTCACTAAATTAGTCCTTTAGAAGTATTTATTTGAAAACTGAAATAAAAAGGCCAAGTTTGAAAACAGTCTATGGGTTATACTTCTTAGTGTCAGATAAACAAAAGGAAGAAGTGGCTGAAAAATGGGGCCCCTACATTTCTGAGACCTGTTTCTCATATTTAAAAACTTCCAGGTTTGAGGGTTAAATCCAGTTTGGAAATTTAATAGTTGATATGGAAAGCTGAAAGTTCACCTATCATTTCACTTAATTTAGTAAATTTCTTTTTACAATTTCATTCAGCATATATTTCTGAGTCAGTTGGATAGGAAATATAATCTATTTTATACTTGCAAGATATTCAAAAGAAAAAGTGATCCTGACACTCAAATTATGGGCTGAGCAAGATCCAACAGATTACAACCAATAGTTACTGTTTAACATGCCCCACAGTGCAAGATGAATCACTCAGAACCGGGACACTTTCTGCTTCTAAAAATTACCCTGCCAGCTCCACTTGCTCTCTGCCTCAAGAGAATGAAAGACATGCCAGGAATGTGTGAAGTGGGCAGAGGGTAATTCCAGGAGTGGGGTGAGGTCACGCAAGACCTGCTTGTTTGGCTCCATTTCCATGCAAAGAAGGTCAAGTGTGTACAATATATTCCTGATTTCTTTGTTCTGTCCCAGACAGTTTACATCCATTCTGTGTACTATTTCTGAAGAACACTAAAACCCATTTCAGGGTACTTACTATATTAGTACAGTAGTCTTTCCAACATTTAAAAATGTAGATCTGTTCTGATAAAGACAGGAAAAACAAAAAAAATTCATCTGAGTAACTTAAAGATTTTACTGGCTTTATTCAACAACTCATGAATGGGGCAGCATCCCATCTAGCAGATAGAAAGAGCTCCAAAGAGCTGTATAAAATGAGACTTTTACAGTGTCTTGCCGATGGGTTTCAGCCCTGGGCGAGTTCACTGTGGATTCAATGAGACTGAGGAATGACAATGGAACATTCTTGGGGTGAAAGGGTTTATACCCAACTTTATTCCCATGGTGGCAGGTCAAGCATTAGAATCCCATCCACTCAGAGCAAGTCCGCATGAAGCAAGCCAGTCTCTGCCCCCACAGCCATCTCAGTCTCTGTCGTAAGCGCTGCCACCACTCCAGTCTCTGCTCTCCTGCAGCCATGCAGCCATGCCACCTTGTCACCCAGAGCACAGGGCACAGTTCTTTATATAGAGTCTATAGCAATGTATTGCCTGCACATGTGTGTAGTGAGCTAGCTGACCAGGGCCAGGTGAGAATCCTGGCCATAGGAACCTTCACTTTATCCCCATACAGGCAAAGAGTGAAACAAGGAAGTTAGTAGCAAAGACTAGGTTGTTTGTGGCAAGGTCCGCATCCTTTAGGGGATGGCAGGGTGCTATCAGACAGATTAGCTCAGTAGTGCTGACCAGGTGATTCCAGAATGACTGGTGTAAGATTGCACTCTTGGGAGAGAGGTTGAAACTACAATTAAATTAGGTGTTAAGTCTCAGTTTGGTGACATAGGGCTTAGCACAAGTGACTCCATTTAGGGCCTGTTGTCTCTTTTTAAAAAATATAAACCTCAGTGCTTCTATTTAAATGTATTCTAAAGTTTCACTCTTAATTAAAATCTGAATAAAACAAAACAATAATTTTTTGTCACTTTCAAAACAGAATATCAAGTGCATTTGAAGATGCTTGATTGCTGCAAAATCTTCTATCCTGATTAGTGTGGGAGGCTTAGCACTTTTTCCACTATTTGTCTTCACAGCTGAAAGTGCAGGTAAAACAGCTTTGCAAATAGATGTCAGTGAAATGGGATGAAATTGCCTGATCACTCGTTTTGAAATTAACAGGAAAATATTTTACCATAAAAATGCTCCAAAGCAGGAGGCGGAGCCAAGATGGCGGCGTGAGTAGAGCAGTGGAAATCTCCTCCCAAAAACACATAGATCTATGAAAATATAACCAAAAAAACTCTTCCTAAAATAGAGACCAGAGGACACAGGACAACATCCAGACCACATACACACATGCAAGAACCCAGCGCTTTGTGAAGGGGGTAAGATACAAGCCCTGGCCCAGCGGGACCTGACCGCTCCTCCCCCCGGCTCCCGGCAGGTAGAAAGAAACCGGAGCGGTTTTTTTTTTGCGAGTGCTTTTTGGAAGCCTTAAAGGGACAGGGACCCCGGTGCTAGGGAGGCAGGGCAGCAGGACCGGTGAGCGGGTGCCTGGGACCAGCGCCTGAGGACAAACAATATCGAGCATTTTTCCCTTTTTTTATTTTTTATTTTTTTTGGTGGGTGATTTTCGGAAGCCTTGAAGGGACAGGGACCCCAGTGCTAGGGAGGCAAGGCAGCAGGACCAGTGAGCGGGTGCCTGGGACCATCGACTGAGGACAAAGAAAATCGCACGTTTTTTCCTTTTCTTTTTTTTATTTTCTTTTTCCTCTTTCGTTGTTGCTCTTGTTGTTTTGGTTTGGAGAGTGCTTTTTGGAAGTCTTAAAGGGGCAGGACAGGACACTTAGACCAGAGGCAGGGAATCTGGGGATCTCTGGGCACTTTAGCCCCCTCCGCAACAGGGAGCACAGAGGCCCCTTATGGAGATAAAAAGCCTCCCTGCCACTCCCCCTCCAACCAGGCTCCACCATTTTGGAGGAACAGCCCCACCCAGGCCACGCCCACAGCAACAGTAGAGATAAAACCCATAGCAACCGGGCAGGAAGCAGAAGCCCTGTCTGCGCACAGCTGCCAAGCATAAGCCACTAGAGGTTGCTATTCTCCCAGGAGAGGAAGGCCACAAACCAACAAGAAGGGAAGCTCTTCAAGCTGTCACTCGTACCAGCTCTGCAAACTATCTCTATCACCATGAAAAGGCAAAACTACAGGCAGACAAAGATCACAGAGACAACACCTGAGAAGGAGACAGACCTAACCAGTCCTCCTGAAAACGAATTCAAAATGAAAATCATGAACATGCTGACAGAGATGCAGAAAAAAATGCAAGAGCAATGGGATGAGATGCAGAGAAAAATGCAAGAGCAGTGGGATGAGATGCAGAGAAAAATGCAAGAGCAGTGGGATGAAGTCCGGAAGGAGATCACAGATGTCAGGAAAGAGATCACAGAAGTGAAACAATCCCTGGAAGGATTTATAAGCAGAATGGATAAGATGCAAGAGGC